TTTTTCTGGGTGTCCTCGAAGGTTGGAGCCACTCTCTTACTTATAGTGGTAGGCTGATACCTAATCCACCACCAACCTTTTACAAATATTAATTTAAGCAGAAAGTATGAATGTTCATCATATCGTATTCGCTGCAGATCATGAAATACTAGTTAAGAAAAACATTATTTTAAGAGCCTTATAGAGTATTGTCATAATCTTCTCATGAGGCACTTGTTACTGTATCAAATTATAGGCCACGTCCTTTCTGGACAACCAAAGCCTATTCACAGCTCCTTTGCAATGTTGAGGCACACTTTCACATTATATATAAATCTTACTTACATCGAAAAGCGCCATCCATCCTTTCCGCCTAAGTTCCTTGGCCGTTCCTTGATCTACATTCACTTTTCTTCCGCTCATTTTCACTCTCTCACTCACTTGAAAAACACACACAATACTCGATTCACTCCTTCACTCAATCTTCAAACACCAACGAACTCGAGTTGAGATGTTACTTTTTTTTCTATTTCGACACGATCCAACTGTCAGCTGATGATGTCATTTATTCTCGATCCTGATTGGCAGTTCGTTTTTCACTTCCAGGAATTGATTGTTGACTCTCGATCCTGATAGGTAGTTAGTATTCCTCTTCCAAGAATTGACCGTTTACTTTCGAATTCTTTCATTGTTGCCGTGTCTTCTCGGGTATGTATGTTTCAGAAGTTGAGTCTCAACGTGAAATTGCGCCAAAAAACTACAGAGATTTTTCACCGTTGCCGTCTTCACGGTACAAGGCTTTCACCTTCTTTGCGATTTCAAAACACAATCACTTAAGGTGATTCGTCAAGCTCAATTGACGTGGTCGAACTGGCATGCGATACATCGAGTAGGTCAGAAATCTCAGCAGATATTGAATTTTTAGCAAAAAAAAAAAAGGACGATAGCCCCTGCCCACGAGACCAAAGAATTATTCTAAACCCAAAAACGGGCAAAATTCAGAAAAATGAAAGCAGAATAGTGTTTGGAATAAAACCTCGCATTCCATACAGAAATCAATTGCTTAATCGAATGTGATGTTTTTTTTCCAAACACTATTCTGTTTTCTTTTCTCTCAATTTTACCCATTTTTTGGTTTAAAATGATTCTTTAAGCTCATGGGCAGGAGCTCTCGTCCTTTTTTGCTAAAAATCCAAAATGCAAAAATACCAAGTAAGTGAGTTACGTAAATTACGACGGCTTTCCCTATTGGAAGGAGTTACACATAAACACGGTTTGTTCTCCGCCCCGTCTCATGGGGGTGGGGTGTCTTCGGGACGCGTGCTTCGTGCTAGCGTGGTTGTGCGGGTTCAGTCGATTTGTCTCGATTTTGAGGGACGCGCACATCCACCGTGGGAAGAATGTATTTTCTGTAGGATAAGAATCATCTCAGCGGTAGTATCATTGTGGCATACTCTACATTTAACAATTTTAAAATTATCACAGCACTTAGAAACAGTTTTTCCCAGAAATTTCTTCCTGTGACCCCCTGTGTGTGTCGAAAGTCTGTCAAGGGTCTCTCTCCCTGGGTCCCCATCACTCTCATGCGAGTGATCGTGACTCACTTCGAGAGCCTCATTTCTATATTATACGAATGCGTTCACTAGGTAGGTATATTAAATTCGATACAGCGCCCGAAGACACCCTCTTTAAGTCTGGGAAAATCCCAAAAAATTTTGGGGAGGACATGCGAGGACGTAAGGGGAGCCACCTTATGTTCCAATAAAGTGATGAGCTTCATTGGAAGGAACCACGGGTCGCGGGTGCGAAGTTATGCAGCAATTCCACCTGCAGCAGCCGATGAGGGCGTTGCGATACTGGTGCCCACATTGATGGCTGAGGTCAATTTATTTTAATTTTTTTTTAATGGGGGGAGGGGGGGGGAGTTAGTTCTCCTGGGATGGGAGCTTTGCTGAGCTATTTCTGGCCAGAGGTGCACACTCTTCTATGCTTCCACAGTAAATTTCACGCGAACAATGTTACCTATAAGTATACTCCACAGAAAAATTGCAAATCGACGGTGTAAGTCGGCACATAACTCGGTTTGCGACGTCGCAGACTCCCTGTCATACCTAGGTACTTTATTTTTTAAACGGAAAACTACGTAAAGGCAATTCTTTAAAACTGTCGATATTTTTCTTCTCTGTGCGGAAAAAATTCTGCATAAACTTCAAGGAATTATCTTAATTTGTTCTCCTACAAATCAATAACACAGAGGCGGAGATTCTCAGACACCGTTAACGATATATTATGTGATTGCCGACTTGCGCTGTCAGAATGTGCTTCCACAACTTCGTGGCCCTTTTCGCCAAAAGTGGTGATCTTCAATGTTTTATCAGTCGTTTGTTGAATACTCTGAACGGACATTTTCGTTATTTTTACGCCCCTCACTCTTGTAACCCTTTTATAACGTAGGTCCACAACAAAATGTCTGAACGTTCTCCTAAACCCCTTCCTCCCTTCCTTTCACGTAACTTATGAACGGCCCCCAGGGAAAAAATTAAACGTTCTCTCAAATAGATTGCTATGTTGATTAAATAAATAAATAATACTCTCTTTTCTACTGCATCCATAGCCGTAGAGAAGAAGTTAATTTGCAAAAAATAAGATTTCTTTGGCAATTAGCACAATCTGATAATATTGGAAGACCTTGACATCCTTCTTGAAAAAGATAGTAGAAAGTCTTCCACAATTTTTCAGTCAAAAATTATAATGGAAAGCCTCCCTGAATCGTCTGGAAGAAATTAGAGGAGTAACCCTCCACAATCGTCCTTGCACATTTCCTAGGCAGCCGTCCAGGCTCGTCTGGCTAAACGGCCAATGTGCCATCGACAGATACTCCCGTAGGCGCGTCCAAGACACGCCCGTCTGTCAGATAGCAAATTAATATTAGAAAGGAAGTATGGCCGAGAAAAGAAGCGAAAAATTCATGACTAAACGGGAGAAGTGAAAGTTAAGAGATAAGAAAAGGTGCTCGCACGCATGATAGTGATGAACGGAGCGGTCCAGGAACTATAAACCGGCGCCGAGCAGCGCCGGAGTCAACTACAATGCTAGAAAATTTAAATTCTTGGTGGTTTTCCTGGGGTAGAACTTTTTCAAAATGGCTATTATTGATTTGCACAGATTATAGCATATTTTGAGCAAAATTAACACCAACTTATTTCTAATATAAGAGACATCCGAACGCGATGCGACTATTCGTGCTGGATGGATGTCCATTTTGCACCTGCAAAATTTAAGGCGCGGTAGCGTGAGTAGTGAATTTTGAACCCGCAATGCTCTGCTCTGCAGTGCTAATGACAGTTGGGAGAAAAATTAAATAAACGAGGCCGGTTTACTTCTCTCCTAGCTTCTGCTGTGTTTCTCACGTATCCCCCGAAGCAGCACTACAAATGAGACAAACGGAACCAACACAATGTGGAAACAGAGCAAGTGAAAAGATGCGCGTTGACGACGGCGCGGAGATGCGACTATTCGTACTTGACGGATGTCGGTGCTGCATCTGCGAAATTGAAGGCGCTTAAGCGCGAGGCGTCAACTCGATGCTCTGTTATGAGCTACCAATGAGCTGTCGCTCAGATTCGGGATTGAGGTTAAAAAAGAGGCCCGAATACTTCTCTCCTGTCTTTGGCTGATTTGGTACTCGATTCGTTTTTTCTCGGTCCCTCTTTATAAGTTAAAAAACCCAGTTCAAAACTCAAAAAGTAGCATTCATTGATATGCTCAGCGTGATGGAAAAGTAAACGTTTCAATGTAGGTATTGTTTTTTTTTTTTTTTTATCATTATTATTTTTTATTTGAAGTACAGCTCATGGGTAATTTAACCGGGATAACATAGAGATTACAAGCGCTTTGGAGGTGGGCGTGAGGTTCCTCGAGACTCGAGACCCCTTTTACTGCTATACATTCTTGATCGCCACGGTATCATGTGATATTGGATTTTTGCACCTCCCACAAAATTAAATTCTACTAATCCAGAATACATATACATGTTCAGAGTTCACGCGCGAAAATGAATAAAACGCTAATAAAAGATAAAAACTAAGTCAGTCGGTAAAGTACGTTCTAAAATCATTTTTTCTTTGTGTCTACAACAAAATTACGAGTCACTGGTAATAATCAGAGAACGTATCTTACATTCATTTAGTTTTTCACAATGCCCCGTAGTCAAAACTAGTTTCATACATGTTTCGTAAAAATTCAATTTAGTTTATTTAAATCATGCAGATAGAAACATTAATATTCTTGTAGTAGTAATTAAGGTCTTAAATGAAATTTATTTAAAAAAAAAAAAAAAAAAAAAAAAAAAAAAAACCGTAACTCCGCTAAAATGTATTATACCTCGAGGTTTTACTATTTTGAACCTCTGATCATAAAACTAGTTTTTTCTTGAATTTCATTATCAAACAGACGAAAAATGGATCTTTGAATTTTCTTTAATTTACGCTGGTAAGCCTACGCAAGGCTCAGTCCTGCAGCCCCCCCCCCTCGTAAGGCACTGTAAGGCTGTTAGAAACCCCCCTCCCCCTCCCTAATGTGACATGCGTTAATTATGGATGGCCCCAAGGTACTGTAAACTTTATTTCCGCTCATCATACCATCCCACCATAATATATTTCATGATCACGCGGGGGAACCTGCGGGGACGTCTTATATTATATATCCATTTACCCAAAAAAGAGAAGGAGCAAGGGACAGAGGTAGGGACTGTAGGGTCCTCGCCAAATAATATTACATGGCTGTCTATGGTTAGCATTGAAATTAATTGCCAGAATCAAGGTACGGGTACAGATCTTTTGTCGGACTCTAACGGTGCGTAAACTTTAGTAGTTGATATTGATATTCCGCATTTCTGATGTGGATGCCATTTGGAGATGCGGAACTGCGGAAGTCCGCAATGTTCCGAGCAATAAATATGAAAATAATACCTGCATTGGCAACGAGGTCCGTACACAATCTTTTGATGCTCACCGTTGCAGGAGAAATTCGGTAAACATGATGGCCTGTTGGATAGGTTGTGGTTCACGAATTTAGATTTGTCTCTGGAATTTAGGCACACTATCTGCATCTGCATTTCCCGCTCATTTTCGCGCTAATATCCAGCATCCAGCATCTTCCCAGTGAGTAATTTACTATTTAATTCAGTTTTAACATGAATAATTGAATATTTACCCATTAACTTCCGATCCACAGACCATTCAGGACCCCAAGTTCCGCTTATATCCCATATTGCTAGTGGGAAGTAGCTTGTAAGTAACAGGTGTCACCCACTTCAGTGACGGAACCATCTCAGCCTCCTATTCTAGGCAGAAAGAAATGAAAGTATCTCTATAGTAGCCAATTGCACCTAACAATTAATTCTTGAGATCCTGCCACCAACATTATTTTCCATGACTAACTGCGCCACATCATCCTACTTGGAAATCAGTTTCCAAGTAGACGAGGATCTCTTGTCATCTCTCGCAAATGGTAGTGGCCTATTGGGTGAACGTACCGTCCATTGACATACGATCTTGTTCTGTTTCCCTGTCTCGTTTGGATTTGTTGGTTCTAATTTATTGTAATCACAGCCAAAGATACATTGACTATTAAGAGCTTACCAGAGTCATGATTGATGTTCTTGCCGTTGTGCTCGAAGCAACAGAAATGAACTAAGGTATGAAATAGAAATAACAGTCTTGTTCACTCTGAAAATGAAAATAATATGAATAACTTAACTTAAATTAGTTACATAGTGGGTGATTTTATTGTTTCAGGAAGATTTCCTTGATTGCGATTCACCAGCGATTCATTGATTGTGATTCATTTTGGTGCGAGTAACTAGCATTCTGCAAGTGAGTAATTTACTATTTAATTCAGTTTTAACATGAATAATTGAATACTTACCCATTAACTTTCGAACTTCAGAAAGATTTCCATGATTGGATTTAGCCTCGGCTATTGCTCTTAGTTGAAAACATTAAAATTATTGGTAGAAAAGCAAAAAACATTTGACTGTTGATATGATTATTAGGCACATCGTAAAGCTGCGGAAAACTAGATTCAGCTATCCACAGCAAATACAGGAAAAAGCACGTCTTTCCTACCTTCAAAATTGTGTAGTCCTGGCTTCACCCAGTATGAATACAATTTTTCTGCCAAACTGGGTGTGCAAGATCTCAAATCTGACATCCGTGTCTACTCCTACATGCAAACGATTTTAGTACTAGTGTAAAATTTTAGCAGTAGGTAAACTGTCTTAGTCCGACACTCAATTAGTAAAATGTATTCAGAAATCAGAATATGATGTACTTGAAACAAATTGGTGGAGGATAATGATGGACTAGCAAGGTTACGTTTCATGACAGATCAAGTCGTGCTAGAGAGATGGAAAGTGATGTTCCTGCCTAGCTCACAGACAGAGTTCATTTCAGAGCTCACATGTACATTGAATGAGATGGAATGCAGGTCATATTTTGAGGATTTCAAGAGTTGAGTTTGAACTATGTATAGCTCTGTGGCCGCATGAAATGGGTTTCACTTGAACACAAGAGTTATATTCTACAGTCAGAATGAACATGAAGGCTTTTTGCATTATCGTTCTCTGACTTTGAAACATTTTGGTACAGTAAATTTCTTAAAGTTCTTTGTGCCAAAATCTGCAGGATCAATTCCTCTGAGCTGTCTCAGAGTTATCACAATTTTTTCTCCTTTTTTTTACATATGTTGTATTTTAGGCCTTATATCTGGGAGCACTCTTTTTATTTTTTTCACTTCAAGTCCCATTTGCCTGACTCAATCACAGTTTTTTGACAGTTTTTCAGTTGTCGAAAAATTACTATTTATGGGATTAACTAAATCAGTAAAAAAGCATCATGAATTTTGTGCGAAGCATGGTTTTTGAAGGTGTATTTATTTACACATTAAGTAATATACTCCAATATTTTTTAGAACAGGATTGCGGGGTATTGAAGTTGAACAAGAAATTTAGAGGGCAGTAGTAGCCTCCGTAAGTCGTCACCTATCAGAGCCCCGGGTTAGTGATTGTTTTTCACATCTGTGTCGGATGAGTTGTCGCAGAGAATTACTTTATGGTGCCATCACACAGGGAAAACCAAGGGAATTTGAAACTTGAAATAAAGTAGAAACCCTAGAAGTGAAGTCTGTATTTTGTCATCTGAAAATTAAGTCTTCTCTTCTAGAAGTTGAATCATGTTTTTTCTTTAATATCGAAAAAGAAAAATTAACAATTTTGTGGAAAATTTAATTTGATCAGTTAATACAGCATTGACTTCAAACCTCCATTTACAAGACATAGCACATCTTTCAAAGTTAAGGAGGCCTCCATTCTCTTCTGAATTACAAAGAAATTGCTATCAGAATATGGTCTTGTCCATCTCTCTTTTTAAAGTTTATTTGATTTTAGCCTAGATATCAATCAAAAATTGCATTTATGCTCATTTCATTCAGGCAATTTTTTTGGAGATAATCATTTGTTTAACCACTTATTGGAAACAGTATGTTACTAAAAAAAGAAAAAAAAGCTACACTGAAGCCCACCAGTTATATTGTATATTTAATGGTTGTGTTAACTGTCGATGCTTATGACTCCTCTTATTCACTGAACAATGTTTTGATATGATTTTCCTTACTTGCTTTTAGATTGTTGATTCAATAATATAAGTATTTAATGCTGGTGGTTCACATAAACTAAGTATTGCGGAGTCTACGTTGTCATGTCAGGCACCTGACCCATTGCCAGCGAATGCAACAAAATTTAAACGATTCAAGGCTTCAAGGGAGAAGCAGAACTTAGCCTGTAGATTTTCAGAATGACTATCTTTAGCTAATCATGTAAGTAAAATACAATACCTGTAAGACCATTAATAAGTAATCAAAGAGTCACTCTGTAACCAACAACAATGTATTTTTCAGACCTTAATAAAAAAAAAATTTTTTTGGCAGATGTGTATCTTCAAGTAGGCTTTTAAAGAATTTTTGAATCTACTAAAGCACATACGATCCGATCACCAACAGTTTGTTTCCAAAAAATTCATTTGAAAGAGGTTTTCTCTACGATTTGATATATCCAGACCATTTTTCTCGGAAGACATAGGGGAGCCGTTTTTAGAGTTAAAATCACACTTTTGATTCATAGAATGAAGGAAGGTGCATCTCAGTGCAGCTGTTTCTTGGCGCCTTGCGCAGCAAAATTATCAATATTGATACACCTTCATCAAATTCAAAACAAGTTTTTCGAAACTGGAAAGGGAAATACATCACTTGTTAGACAAAAATATGCGATAATTGTTTCAGCTCTCAACAGCTATTTTTTGACCATTTACACTGTTGCCAAAACTTTCTTTCTTTTTTGAAAAAGCCGATGTGTGATGAAGCACTGAACAGGCAACAGCCATCAACAGGAATCACCTCTACACCTATTACTCCTGCAGTGACCATAACTAATTCTTGATTCATAATTCTCTCCAATTTTAATAGCATCAGTTCCTACGTCACCAAGGTAAAGGCAACTTTATCAAAAAAGCAGAGGCCATCATTGGTAACTGAAACTTGATTGGCAAAATTAATAAAACACTGTTCACTACTTAACGCTAAGTTCTATGTAAGCAGAAAGCAAAAATTGTACAACAGTAAGGCAATAAACAGAAAGTAATGAAAACTAAACTAAACAAAGTGAAACAAACGGGAAATCAAGGTAACATACTGTGAGCTAAATAATGAAAATGGAGAAAGTCGGAACTAAAAACTGAAACTCGCAAAATTAATTAAAGTTGCCAACGCGTTTCGGGGCTCCCCGGCCCCTTCTTCTCCTAGTCGAAATTTAGCCTTGATGAAGGGATCAGGGAGCCCGGAACTGCGTCGGCAACAATTAATTTTGTGTGTTTGAATTTTTTAGTTCCGACTTTCTCCATTTTCATTAACAGCAAGGTAATTCCAAAAGAGAAAAAAAGCATAAAATCTTAACAGCCAAGACTTCTAGCTCTTTTCTACAGTAGGGCGGGGCAAATATTAAAAAAAACCAGTGGTATCACAAGATTAGATTCTAAAGTGGTACAGGCTCTCTTTCAGGAGAGGGCAAACAAGCAAGTTTCTTAGGACGTAAGATGCATGGACCGTGCTTTCAATTAGTGTCTGTTCAAAACAGTTCACCTTTTTGAAGGGGGAACAACTGAGGTCCACCTTCATTAGCTCCAACCCCCAAATGAGGAGAAAGAAGCTCGCTACTTAAAAGTTGAGAATATGTGGTTGAGAGGCAATACGCTCTGATAATACATCATTTAAATTTATTACTCACATTTAGTTATAAAAAATGCAAAGGCCTTTTGGTTCACAGAACCATCATCAAGGTGAATATACAAACAAATGTAGCTACATAATTTAGGAGACAATTACAACTACAAAAGCGTTAATAACATCATATTTAGACGGAAAATATGAGCTGTTATCATGTGTTGTAGCATATTTTACGTCCAGCTCTCATGATCTTTATGGCTTCGTAGTTGTAATTGTCTTGTAATTATGTAGCTATATTAGTTTTGTTTTTATATTTACCTCGATGTTGGTTCTGTGTAACCGAAAGGCCTTGGCATTTTTTATAATCAAATGTGAGTAATAAATGTAAATTATGTATTATCACAGCACATTTGCTCTCAATCTCACATTCTCAATTTATAATGCTGTTCAGCCCAACATTTTCCATTACTTATATATGTACAGGACCAGGTTCTGCATCATACAATAATAAAACAGGCAATACCAAACAACGGTAGCCAGCCAAGCACCATGTAACGCACCAGAAATCAGGCAAATTGTACGCCATTTAATCTAAAATATCTGGAAATTTAAAAGAAAAATGTGCATAAATATCTTCATAAATACATGTTTTATCAAGGGAAATTTGGCAACCCTCGAATGTTCATACGGCGTTTCTCAGCACGGCAGCGCAGTGTGGCATTCTTATCTTACGCGATACCTTTGGGCTTTCTCTCTTTCTCCCTTTCATCAATTATGTATAGTTTCCTTTTTTCTTCGTCTTCTTTTGTTAATGTAACTCCTTATCTAAATTACAAGTGGAGGTGGAAACATGCACATGACTCAAAAAATTAATGCAGTTAGAAGTCAGTAGTAGTCAGATTAGTTAACTGATTAGTTGACTGATTCTAACACAAATGATAAACACCTATCATTTTCTTACTTAAACTTAATTTAGAAATTCTCAAAATTTTCACTATAGTTTCTGTCAAGTTTCGTAGGAACATTTTCAATTCTGTGCTAAATATCAAGTTTTCTAGTGATCTTTGTAGGTAATTTAGTGTTCAGTGTTTGATAATGTGGCTTTCTTTCTTAGGTTGAGTTGAGGATGATTAATAGTACAAAAGGTGGCCGAACGATCAGCAGAAACGTAATCTCAATGATGGTGGCTTGTGTAGGATGTTACTTATTGATCTTGCCGCAATCATTAGTGTGAGTTGTCTAGTAGTCTTCTAGACCAAGCAGCAGGCTCATCAGAGTAAGTAGTTCGCACCTTAAATTTTTAACGTCTTAAATCTCCGTGCAAGAAATTGTCACAGACTGATTTTTTTGCAACCAATTCTTATTCTACATCCCTACTTTTTGTTAAAGCCTCGAGTAGGGCATCCCAAAAAAATTTCTACCCTTGATTAGTCACGTTTTCTGGTTAAGAAAGAGTGCCATTTGGTTAGAAAACACTTTTGTCCAAGTTTCAGATTTTTAGGCTAAGTTTAAGTGCTGCCGCATCGCACATTTGTGAAATCTGGGATCCGTATAAATGAGATTTTTGACGATTTGATGATTTTTTATATTCACGAAGCAGTCACGATAAAGCCCCGAAAATTTGAGATAGTAGCCTCCTACCACCTTCAATAATTGCACACAGTGGGTTGAGGAGTGGAAATGTGAAGATATGTGGGTCACTTACTTTCTTTCTTTTTCGCCCGATGAATATTTCGGTTGTCACTGTTTAAACGATGGCCATTTCAGCTTCAGCGGAAGCCATCATCAGGTAATTATTAAAAAACTAACAACGAAAACAAAAACAAAAAACCGAAGCTAAATATATATGGGTCATTCCATATAGAACCCACCAGCCATGCAACCGCCCGACTCGGATTTTGATTATACATTTTTGCTAATAATTTTTGAAGTTTTAAGAATTTTCAAGAAGGAGACGTTTCGAACTTCCGAGAAAGAACGGGTCATTTTCCCAAAAAAAATTCATCCCGGGCACATTTTTCGTCGGATTGAAGTGAAAATTTGACACAATGTCAAGAAAAGTATGTAGATTTGAATAAAAAATGCTTAAAATGTTTGACTTCACTCATTGATGTGCTGCGGTTGATAGTTCGTTGTGATTTTGTATGATTTTAGTTGTGCTATGCCCTCTTCAAATGCCCATAACTTTTGAGCTTCAAGTAATTTTTTGCTCCAATTTTCTTTAAAATGCTCCTAAGAGTATTAGAAAGAAGCCTACAGAACAATTCTGATGGCGTTTTGGGCTTTAGTATCTTTTTTCTTCACTTTCGTCCGAAAAAAGGCCTAAAACTGAAAATAACACCAAAATTATTCCGACAATTGACCGTTACCCTGAAAAGTCAACTCAAAAATCGCTTCATTTTGGCCTGAATTGTCCTTATTGTGTGTACAATATGTTTGAAAAATAAAATCAACCGTATTTTGGGTTTAAATATCTTTAACTTCGAGTTTTTTCCGAAAAAAGGCCAGCAAACTGGAAAACACTGAAATTACACCAATTATCAGCCCTAACTCTGGAGTAGCAACTCAAATATTGCTCACGTTTCTACTGAAAGGTTCTCACTGCATGTGAAATGCGTCTGGGGAATAAAAGTGATGGTATGTTGGGTTTCCATAACTCTTCTCTCAACATTTTTACTCAAGAGAGGTTCGCTAAACTGAAAAAAGTGCTAGGAAAATCTCATTAACCGACAATTACATTGAAAAAGCAATTGATTGATGGCCCAGATTTTTCACCTAAGGACTCTTCTTGTACGGAAAGCAC